TGAGAGCCATTATCCACAAATGGCGAAAACATGGAACAGTGGTGAACCTTCCCAGGAGTGGCCGGCTGACCAAAATTACCCCAAGAGCGCAGCGACGACTCATCCAAGAGGTCACAAAAGACCCCAGAACAACATCCAAAGAACTGCAGTGTTCATGACTCCACCATAAGAAAGAGACTGGGCAAAAATAGCCTGCATGGCAGAGTTCCAAGACCAAAACCACTGCTGAGCAAAAAGAACATAAAGGCTCGTCTCAGTTTTGCCAGAAAACATCTTGATGATCGACAAGACTTTTGGGAAAATACTCTGTGGACTGACGAGACAAAAGTTGAACTTTTTGGAAGGTGTATGTCCCATTACATCTGGCGTAGAAGTAACACGGCATTTCAGAAAAGGAACATCATACCAACAGTAAAATATGGTGGTGGTCGTGTGATGGTCTGGGGCTGTTTTGCTGTTTCAGGACCTGGAAGACTTGCTGTGGTAAATGGAACCATGAATTCTGCTGTCTACCAAAAAATCCTGAAGGACAATGTCCGGCCATCTGTTCGTGACCTCAAGCTGAAGCGCACTTGGGTTCTGCAGCGGGACAATGATCCAAAACACACCAGCAAGTCCACCTCTGAATGGCTTAAGAAAAACAAAATGAAGACTTTGGAGTGGCCTAGTCAAAGTCCCGACCTGAATCCGATTGAGATGCTGTGGCATGACCTCAAAAAGGAGGTTCATGCTCGAAAACCCTCCAATGTGGCTGAATTACAACAATTCTGCAAAGATGAGTGGGCCAAAATTCCTCTACAGCGCTGTAAAAGACTTGAAAATGACTTGATTGCAGTTGTTGCTGCTAAGGGTGGCCCAACCAGTTATTAGGTTTAGGGGGCAATCACTTTTTCACACAGGGCCATGTAGGTTTGGATTTTTTTTTTAAATAAAATGAAAAATAAATAAACCATTCGCTCGCCTTGACAGTTTGACTCTTTGTTTAGTCACATATTGCCCCAAGGGCAGAGGAGCATACTTTTTGTTGAACCAGTTTCGACACACAAGACGACCACAGATTTGCGCAATGGGCCCCTGAGATTTTGGAGATGTGTGCGTCACCTCCTCCGCAAATCTCTGCTCTGCCTTACTCCGATATTATTTTTCATGTGCCTCTTTGCACAGACACATTTCAACTTGTCATTGTGGTGACAAGTGGACACACAGGTGAAGGGCAGAAAGACAGTCAATGAGCAGTAATGCATAAAAATAACAACCCTCCCCTGCATTCCTAGGGAGTTTAGGGTGTGTCATGTGAGCTTCCATGAGACTCCACAACCTCTGACGGGACACGACGGGGATTGTTTGGACGTTTTGGTCTCACCAGTGTGTGTGTGTGTGTGTGCGTGTGTGTGGGAGGGAGTGGAGGAGAAGTTTCATCAGCCACTTTTGAGTTTTGTTCACATCTACTGACTAAACACCCAAAAGACCTCCATAAACTTCCACAGCTGCAGAAAAGGAATGCTGGAGGTGCCCAGCAATGTAGAGCCACGGCCTTAACATGCCCGCAGTAGAGTCTAGTGCTATTAACTCACTTGCTCAGAACAGATTTGTTACGACTTAGACGTCATAAGATAACGAACATGAATGCTGTTTTCCTCCCTGCCTGAGGGTGGTGCTGTGTGTACATTGCGTCTGTGTTTTGATCTGCTGCGTTGCAGGTGATTGGACTGATTAGGCCGGATTTAAGGAAGGACCCTGTGGAGGCCGGTGCTCTCTCTCTCTCTTTTCTCCTCCGGCTGTATGGCAGCAGCACTGGTCATTCATTATTGGGAGGGAGAGAGAGAGGGAGACCCATCGTTATGCCTGGACCGGGCATAACAAGATTAAAAATAAAAACGTTTTGTAATCGCTGGGGACACTGAATGACCAACAGTGTGACTTTGTCCAGTTTCAGATGGCTGTCTGAATATACGCAATTCTGATTTGTGGGCTTTCCTCCTTGCTGTAAAAGTCTCAGATGGCATTTGTTTCGCCACCAATATCTCTTCCTCCTGACAATGAGGCTGAAGAACTGAGAACTAGCACACCGGCCATATGTCTCCACATATGGCTGAAGGAGATTACATCAATTATTTCTTACCGGGGAGGTGAACTGGTTAGCCGCCGTGCATCCTGCCCAGACTTCCCTTTTGGCTTCACAGAATGCCATAATCTTTCAAAAAGTAGTCCCTACTGTGAACAAGTGGGGCAAATAAAAGATGTGATGTTCTGTCCATTTCCTTGAATAAAAAAACAATCTTATCGCGAAGTTGGTTTTCTACTTTAGTCTCAGCCATGAATGTGTATTTTTGGAGCGATTCATGCAGTTTACACCGAGAGAAAGAGTGTTTACTCTGAAATAACAACACACGGGAATAGAAGTACATTTCTCCATTACAGCCTCGCGGTCCGCTTTTGGGTGACTTTGTGCAAGTGCAGCAGGGACTGGACAGTGCAAACCACATACACCGTCTATTCTTTAAAACAAAGGGAGGCTACTTTGGGTAAAAAAGCGACTTAAAGTCCTACTGAGGCTTTCATTAACAATTATGCCTTATAAATTACAGCTACAGATATATAATTTAGCACCAACCATGTCCGTCACTGCAGTGACACTATCTGAATAATGTTAAAATATGCAAATTAGTCAACAGCTACAGCAACTAGCACACACATCTGAGGTTATAATGATGCAGACGCAATGGTTTAAGATCACACGCCGGTCATTCGCCGTCTGCATGGGTGGACTGACATCCTCATATGTCGCTGCTTCCATATCGACAACCCCACAGAACAGACAGCTCCTTGACCGGGGATGTGGGAGGGAGCTGTCTCACTTCAATGCAGACAGGGATTTTCTGCCTCCCACACTTTTCAGACAGAGAAAAAAACAGGTCTTCATGACCTAAAAATATGGTTGATGTTTCATACCATTTACACCCCCCCTTTAAAATGGGAACTATTCAGATGTAATGGGAGGGCAGCACACAGGAACATTTTGTTAAGCTCAGCAGACTGCCAAAAAACAACTGAGCCGTTTCAAAACCACACAGGAAATGACATCGCTGACACAATCTTGCCCGTGCAGACTCCGGCACAACACAACAAAAAAGCAATGAAAAACAAGGTGCTAATGTTGGCATATTAGACATGCAGGGATCATTAAAAGAGACATGGGCCAGTTTTATGAAAACACTGGAGCCCGTTAGGATCCAACACTGACAGTGAGAGGGAATGAATGCAGAAGACTGGCTGCTTTGACGAGGCCAGGCCTACACACAGGAGAGAAAGAAAGACAACCTTACTGGAGACATGTTGTCTCAAATTATGGACCCATCTAAATCTACACATACAACCCAAACCAGAAGTCACACTATTAAAAGGAATTACTAGAAGTTGTACTGTATGTGGATACATCCCATGCAGAAAAGCAGGATCCACCAATTAAAGCAGAAGCTTAATGAAACTACAAGACGAAACAAGTTGCCTTCTTACTCATGACTCTGCAGTTCACTGGTGCCAACTGAAACACAGCTAAGCCGACAATTATTATCGCACCAGATTGAAAAAAAAAAAGAAAAGAGGAAGATGAACAGTTACTTGATTGTAGACAAAACAGGAAGCTCGAATGAATAAGCAATGCGAGTGAAGAAATGATATGCTAGATATCACATTGGTCGACGGTCACAGGACCCCCGTGTGTGTGTGTGTGTGTGTGTGTGTGTGTGTGTGAGTGTGAGTGAGAGAGAGAGAGAGAGAGATACTGTTGCCACAGATTAAATGTAGAGTCATGATGAGGCTCACCAGCAGCAGGGATTGATTGGCCATTAGTCCTCAGTGACCACTGTCTGGTCGGACCATGCAGACCATGTGCATCACTCCCCCCAGAGAGGGGTGGACCAAAACAAAGCTTTGATTGCACTGTGCACGTGTGACATCTCGATGCTCTATTGTCTATGAAATATAAAAGGAGGGGGGGTGGGGGTGGGGAGGACATTCCCCCTTTGTGTAAAGCAAACATTAAAGGGCCTATAGGCAGCTCAGCCTGCATGTGACAGCCATGCTATCACAGTGAGATCAGCCTGTGGACCGTGCTCAGCCTCCTGGGGATGGTCGCACACATCGTGGTTGTAGCTCCAGGCATCATGTAAAATAAAACCTAACGTAACTTTACCAATAATTAAACCTCTTATTCGATGAACTATCGGCTCCCCCATAATATTCAGTCCCTGCAACCACTCCTGTCGTCATACAGCCTCTCGTTTTCATTTTTTGTTTCACATAGTATATCGCCTAGCAACAGTGTGTTGCCAGGAAGACGAGCACTCATCTTTTCATGCCTTTTGGCTCCAGTGACTCCCTCACTTCTTCATCACAGTATATATATATATATATATATATACTCCCCGCTGAGCCCCTCTTGCACGTTTCACCACCGTGTGAGCCAGAGTGACGTGGCAGAGGATTTCACTAACTTTTATCACGCTTTTGGTTCAGAGTGACTAAAAACCGAGAAACTCATTGGACTCGTTAGATATGCGGAGACGCAGTTTAGAAGCTGAACTTGTTTCTCTGTGCGCAACCAAAAAAAAAAAAAGAAAGAAAGAAGAAGAAAAAGCCTCAACAGGAGTCAGTTTACGGGCTGCGTGGCGCTGCTGTCAGTTTAAGTGTCAAGTTGAAAACCATAACAAACCATTTGTGACTTAAAATACTCTCTAATGTTTAAATATTCGTGTTTCGAGTGAATGTGTCGACCAAGCACCCCCCCTCCCCGCACACTGACAGCTATCCTGGCTCCTCAACAACTGTAGCTGACGTACACAGCCGAGTTGTAAAGTAGCGCTAAGTAAACACCGGCTGTAATGTTAGCTCCTGGGCGAGGCTAGCTTGGCTCGGTTTAGCCAAGTTAGCCTCGATTTAGCCTAATTTAGCGGCAGCTATCGCATTCACGGCAATGCACTGAACAGCTGAATACTCACTTTTATGTCTGCTCGCGGTCCACGACTGTTTGGCGATACTGGGGCTCCGTATAATTGCCCTTCCAGCGGATTTCAAAGCGTCCATATCGTAAATCCAAAAAGTGGGGCAAAGAGCCCGACGAGCGCCTGTTTCGTGTAGTGTCGAAACACTTCGCCTCCTTCAGAACAGCGCTCTCCCGTTCAAACTTTTTTTCTGCTGTTTTTTCCTCCCCTCCGCGCGGATAGCTTTCAGTCGATGGTAGATTATCATGTTCGTCCCCCTGGGCGGCGTTTTGTATGTAAATGAACCGGATAATGTGCGTGACGCCCGGTTGTGGAGTCACGCCAGTGAGGAGGTGGTTGTTGCAGCCCGAGCGGGCGGGTGCTGTTCCTGTTAAAACACGGCGCCGTTTTCACTCCCACCGGTGTCTTTTTCGAGACCGATGGTTTGTCAGTCACATCACGGGCTGCGGTTACACCTCTGATGTTTAATTCAGCCACACATGCTTCTCACCTTTCTACGAGCCTCGAGATCTGCCGTATATCCAGTGGAAATGTCAGCAGGCTAATGTCACGAGCAGAAATAGGTTAGAGGGCGGAAAAATACTTCATTTCAGTCCCCTCACCTTTTCAGGTAGATATAGCAGCTGAATTCAATGGTATGCATCATAATAATAAAAAATATATTTTGTTATTATGAATGATTTCGGTACGGTCATTCTCCACACTCACTTATCGTCAGCAGGATGCTCTGATTTGGTCACATACTCACTTGATATTAATGTATGATTCCTATAGCCCCCATATAGTGCTCTGACGGCCCATAAGAGAACAGCTGTAGGGGAGGAAAGGAAAAAAATGGAAGCCAAGGAGTCCCGCTGGACATGTGGAGGAAAAAGGGGTTTCCTGATGAAAGAAACATGAGGTCAAGGAGATCTGGACTGTCGACGAAGATGCCCCATTTCTCGAGTCCTGAAGAGGAAACCCTGCTAGGCAGTCAAGAGCAATTCATGTCACATTTATCTTTTTGTTGTTCATGATTCTAAATATAAACATCGAACAAAAAGTTCAGAAATTAGTGTTTGGTAGATTATTTCTCTGTTGTAACAATGCTTCTTGGCAATGAATTTTATACCGTTAGAAAGCCCGTTTATTTACCTTTCAAACGGTGCCCCATTTGTAAGGATCATGCATTTGTGGGATGAGCAGCACAGCTCAATATGTGGGTTGCGCCCATGAAAAATTTGCCAAATCTTCTCTGCCAATGCCAAACAGCTTATTCTGCTGTTGCTATTACTCTTGTTTGGTGTTGTTTGGTGGATTGGATGATTGAAGTCTATCAGTAACAAGGAAGAAACAAGACATATTGGCAATTTTACAATTTATTCATTTAACAAACAGGAGCCTCAGTAGCGTGTGGAAGAACCATACACAGCCACAACAGCCTGGCACCTCCTCCTCATGCTGGTCACCAGCCTGCTCACACACTGCTGTGGGATGGCATTCCACTCCTCAAGCAGGATTTGTCGCAAGTCAGCCAACGTGGTTGTGTTGGTCACTCTGGCACGAACAGCTGATCCCACAAGTGTTGAATTGGGTTGAGGTCAGGACTGTTGGCAGGCCATTCCATCCTCTCCACTCCCAAATTCTGGAGGTAGTCTCTGATAAACCGCTCTGTGGGGGCGAGCGTCTTCATCTTAGAGGATGGAGTTCGGTCCCAGACTGTGGAGAAATGGGATTGCCACTGGTTGCAGAATCTCATCTCGATATCTCTCTGCATTGAGATTGCCTCCAATGAAGAAAAGCCTCGTTTTTCCAGTGATGGAGATGCCGCCCCACACCATCACACTGCCTCCACCAAAAGGTGTTCCTCTATCGGTGCAGCAATCAGCATAGCGTTCTCCCCGTTTTCTCCACACTTTGACAGTACGATCCAACTTCCTTAGACAGAATCTGGACTCATCGCTGATCATAACGTTCCTCCACATGTTCAGGTTCCAGTGCAGGTGTTGCCGACACCAGCGCAAATGGGCCCGACGGTCAATAGCAACAGCAGAATAAGCTGTTTGGCATTGGCAGAGAAGATTTGGCAAATTTTTCATGGGCGCAACCCACATACTCAGCTGTGCTGCTCATCCCACAAATGCATGTTCCTTACAAATGGGGCACCGTTTGAAAGGTAAATAAACAGGCTTTCCAACGGTATAACATTTATTGCCAAGAAGCATTGTTACAACAGAGAAATAATCTACCAAACACTAATTTCCGAACTTTTTGTTCGATGTTTATGTTGGTCAAAAGGACCAGACACGGTCAACTAACAACGATTCTGATGGTTGACATTTTCTCAAGAGATCCAAATGACCCTTTATAGCCCCACTTTCTGTCACGAGTTTTGAGATGATGAAAAAACCTCAACCTCAATATTCACAGTAGCTTTAGTCTTATTTAGTAATTATTTGATAACATCTACATTAACATAATGTTGCTGCTGACTGTTGAAAGTTATTCTCGTGTTGAGACGACATTAAGCGCTTTGTTCAGTGATCCTCATCCTCAAACTAAGACATCAAAAGATATTATTTGTGTGTTGACACCGAAAACCTTTGTATTGTATCAGGTCAATTGTTAAAACATTTAAAAATGACACCAAGCTCAATTTCTAAATTGAATTCCATTGAGCTTCCATCGTCACACACTAAATGAGTGACTCAGGAGAATGGCTTTCAAAAAATCTTGCACTTCCACATTTCTCAGATATACAAGAGTGCAACAAGGCTAATACGTCCCCAAGGACAAATCGGCAATCTGAAGCTCAGTTAGCAATTACATAGTGTTGAGTTTATTCTGCAGAAACAATGCCTCCAAGGGAGACACATCACCACATCAGGGTAGCAGTGTAAACCAAAGCACCCCTCTGTTCTCCGGCAGGTGCATTCCTTTTAAATCACTGCTTCTTTGTTTGCAGCCACGCTTCACTGAGAGGCTGGAGACAAAAGAGCGGAGTCTTCTGCGAGTAAATCTGCCAGTTACTGAAGCATGCAAGACATACCTCGCCTTTTACAGCAACAACACAGGTAATGGGCACAGGAGGTGTGTTTGGGAAGAAAGATCTACTGGAGGAGGGAAGAGGGGCACCACTGCAACATTCAACAGAGATTATTCTTATGAAAGACAAAATACAAAGGATTTATTTATACATGAGGACAAGCACACGTCTATTCGCCCACATGGAAAGTCTTTGTCATGGTCCTTACGTTCACCGAGTAGTTCAAGAGGGCCATACCTGGAATCTCTCATTTCATGGCTTCTTCTCTCTACAAACAGCTGGATTTACTGTAGATTAGTGAGGTCTAATGGCATCGCCAGTACAGTTCATCTAATGCCCAACGGCATTAGATGAATGAATTATCATTCCAATCAAAATGCATGGCAGCCCCAAAATGTGCTCCCATTTATTGGTTCCGCCACTGACTGAAATCCAAAGCCCAGAGGTCAGCATATAGCACAGAGTAATCATGTCCAGATCTGAAAAGTGGAGTAAAATGTGCTTAAATATTGTTATTTACATGGTGCACATTACTGACTTCGTTTACCAACGCGATGCTGCCGTGTGATTTAGTGGGAGTTCCACTGGTCACCGTGTTTTGACGAGCAGCGATTAGTGGTTCGCATGAACAAATTATTCATAAGTTCCTTTTGTCAGAGCTAAATGGGATTTTGTGGTCCTGAAAAGAGGGATTTAGTGGTTCTTGACAGAATTAAAAACCAGAGACTGTGTGGACAGATTATCTCTCCAAACCCAAATGACATGGATGAACACTGCCTCCTAGTGGCAACAGCTATAGTGCATCTGATTTACAATGCCAGGAAACCAGATAACCAATTATATGAACCTTTGTTTGGGCAAATTACACATCACAAATCATAACAGAACCCATATATATATATTTTTACTTTGACTATATTAATGCAGTAGTCAGTCATTATAGAGAAATCACTCAGTTCCCTTTCAAACTGACATTACAACAAAATGAAACTGATGGGCTGATGGTGTTTGAGATGCCACACATGCTTTATGGGCACTCCAGCATTTTAACTTTCCTTAAGTTTAGTTACTTTTGACATTGATGAAAGAATGGTCATAATTGAAGCAACTGAGGCAGAGACAGTAGTCAAGCTCCAAAAACACTGGATCCTACACTTCCCATAATGCAACTCAATAGCCTCTGTTAGAATGTACCCTGCCTCCTAAAATCCCACTTCTTTTAAACGCCACAACTTCAGCTTGTGAAGCAGGCTTTGTGTTAAGCCAAAGCTGAACTAACCCTGATGACAAAAGTTTGGAAAGCAAATAAATGTAACTTAAAATGAACAACAACAAGCAGAGAATTTGCAAGAAACAATGTTTATTCCTTGTAAACCTCACAGAGCGAGAGCACAGCCAAGGTCAGACCTGGGGAGAAACAGAGCAGTGACTGTGGGCATAGAAAACAAAAAAAAACAACAAAACACTTCTCTATACTCTCAACAATCAGTTGACTGACTAAACTGTCATTTTCACAACATTTTCTTTTCTTCCCCAGGAACCAACGACAGCAATCTGAGCGAAAAGAAAAGCGTCTCCATGTACAATCAGTGAAAACCACGCGCACAACAATGACCATTTCAGATGAGGGTGAAACCACATCAGACTTTAGAGATTCTCTCCCTGCAGGAAAAATAACAATACCAGCAGAAACAGGAGGAAGGGAAGCTGCTTTAGAAACAGCCACCTCCCCCCAAACAGTTGCAAATACTGTAACGTTCACAAAAAGAAATGTGACTTTCTAGTCCCTTACTTTTAACTACACAGTCTACTACGAACAGGTGACCGCTTTCTCTACCTGCTTAACGGAAACTTTCATGAACTGATATTCAACTGGATATTTGACAAACACGTCAGCCAATGTACTTGCAGTACATTCTTGAACACTGTACTTAGAGAAAACCAGCATTCCCAGTCTTGGCACACAAACTGAAGAGGATTAATTAAATAAAATCATTTATCCGCTATATTAAAGTTGGCATTTTCCAAAAGCTTTGTTTACATTGCACAGTCCATCTTTACGGTTTTTCCCTTTCGAACAGCAAGTGTTTTCTACAGTGCAACTTTTAATTGGGGAATCAAAAACAATAAGGGGGGGGGGGGGGCAGCAGCTAAACCGAGGGATTTGGGGGTTTAACAGCAGCAGAGATGAGCTTCTGTGGGCGGACGTATAAACAGCAGACTCTGTGGTGGGCAACATCATGTCGCCATACTGAACAGGCAAATAGGAGAACAATGAATCAAGTGCAGTCTACCGAATCCGTTAGTGTGACTTACTTAAAGGGGCAGAGCTGCCCTCACGTGGACACGATGGAGCAGCGGCTCTACCGGTGTGGACGCTAGTAGAGAGCCCAAAAGCCAAATTAGCATCTGAAGGCAACTTTGTCCCACTTCACCAGGAGAGGTCAAATTCTGATCCTGTCCAGCTGAGCCAGATGTGTCACAACTAATTAATTCATAAGGGTCGGGCCGTATCTCATTACTCACTTTATGTCCTCAACTCAAGGCACTGTGATCATGACAACCAATGAAAGACTATGCAGAGTACTGAGAAGCCGGTCCACCTGCATATCTCTCTCACACACACACACACACACACACACACACACACACACACACACACACAC